AGCATCATCATCGTCATCAGCATCATCAGCAGCAGCACACACCCCACCACCATAATCAGAAACATCATCATCATCAGCATCAGCAGCAGCAGCATCGGCATCGTCAACATCATCGTCAGCAGTATCAGCATCATCAGCAGCGCCTTCATCATCAGCAGCAGCAGCAACAGTATCATCATCAGCATCCTCATCGTCTTCATCACAATATTCAGCATCAGCATCATCATTATCAACATAAGCATAATCAGCATAATGAATAGTATCGTGAGTAGTACCACTCATATTGCTAACGCAATCATAATCGTAGTTACGATTCGCATCATCCCAATCATCATCGTCGTCATTGGCACCACCGCCATCAACAGCAGCATCAACATCAACATTAGCATCAGCATCATATTAAGCGTCATCACCATCGTCATCATGTCAGCATGACCATCAGCATCATCATCATCATCATCATCAGCAGCAGCATCATCATCAGCATCGGCATCATCATCAGCATCATCATAATGCTCATCATCAGCAGCAGCATCATCATCATCGCCATTATCGTAATCGTCATCAGCAACAGCAGCATCATCGTCAGCATCGTCCTCAGCGTCCTCAGCATCATCAGCATCATCAGCATCAGCAACATATTCATCATCAACAGCATTATCGGCATCATTATCTTCATCAGAAGCTTCATCGTCATCAGCAGCATCATCGTCGTCAGTGTCGTCGTCCTCGCCGGCATATTCTTCAGCACAAAATCGTCGCCATAATCATCATCATTATCATCATCATCATCATCATCATCATCAGCATCAGTATCATCATCAGCATCAGCATCATGATGATAACAGTAATAATAAAGACAGTAATAGTAATGATAACATTGCTAGACATCATCACACCATCATCTCGATAATCATCGTCATCATCATCAGAATCATCAGTATCATCATCACCATCATCATCCGCGTCCCCATTATCATCCTGATCATCATCATCATCAGCAGCATCATCATGATCGCCGTCGTCCATATTATCTTGATCAGCATCAACCGCATCATCACCATCATCGTCATGATCATCATCATCATCAGCAGCATCATCATCATCGTCGTCACCGTCATCGTCATCATCATCAACGGCAGAAGCATCATCATCAGCGTTGTCATCATCATCATCATCATCCTCGCCGTAGTGATCGGCGTCGTCGACATTGTCGTCACCGTCGTCGTCGTCGTCAGCATCATCAGGATATAAGCGGCATCGACATCATTATCGCCATCGTCACAAGCAGCAGCAGCAACAAATCATCGTCATCATCACCATCGTCATCATCAACAGCATCATCATCATCAGCAGCATCATCAGCAGCATCATCAACAAGGTCATCATCAACGTCAACCCCACTATCATCCTCATCCTCATCGGCATCGTCCTCGTCCTGCACATTCTCCCTCCTCCACTCCTCCTCATTCTCCTGGTCCTCCTCCTCCTGCTCCTCCTCGTTCCCGTCCTCGTCCTCCCCCCTGCTTCCATATCCTCATCCAAGCATCGTCCCTGGGCATCGTGTCTTTACGGGCTGGTGGGGCCACGCGGACCGTCAAGAGGTGGGAAGTGTAAGGGCTGCCAGGGCTGATCCAAGCTTCGGCTTGACTGGTATCCCCCCCTCTTTGTCTCATGGATGCTCCTCCTCCGCTAGAACTATTAACACGCTTCTGGGCGGGCCTGGACAGTCGATCACTGCAAACAGGGGCATTCTCAAGTAAGCGCTGACGTCACGTCCTTGTGTTGTTCGACATGGTACCAAATCCAGAACTGTCTTTGACACCCAGAGAATGCTGAGGGGGCGCTGACAGCAAGCCCCGATGCACTCGGCTTTCTAAGAGTGTGAAGCGAACGAGCTAACCGTTGTAAAAAAAGTAAGCTGCATCAGATTGAGGATGCCGAACGGTCATTCGGTGAGGCTCCACGATGGGGATTGTTGTTCTTGTCGTCGTCGTCAAGCGGTTGTTAGTGCTGTTGTTGTTGACGTTGTTGGTGATGTTGCTGTTGTCATTGTTGCGTTGTTTGTTGTTTGTTGTTTGTTGTTTGTTGTTTGTTGCTTCATGTTTGCTGGCATTGTCCCACCCGCAACCCGTCCCTCAACCCACCCGCGACCATCTCGCGACCCCCGCGACCCACCCACGACCCACCCCGCGAAACACCCCACGACACACCCGCGACCCACCTGCGTCCCACCCGCGACCCACCCACGACCTGGCCCGCGATCCACCCGCGACCCACCCGCGACCAACCAGCGCCAACCACCCGCACTGCTTGAACGCAGAAACCGGCGCCTGCGGCGGGCCCACGCCATAATCTGTGAGAATGAGGCGCCTGGGGCGGGCATCCTCAGAGCCTCGCAGACGGTCGACGTCCCCGCCGCCCCCTCGCCCTTGACCGTGCCTCCGGGGCGCTGCGTGGACATCAACCGCCGCAGGCCCGCGGGGACCTCCTGGACCTGCGCTGCCCCCCCCCACCCACCCAAAGCGGCGCCTCCGGCGCCGCACTCGCGCGCTCCGCGCGCGCGCCATGGAGTGGGTCCCGGCGCCGAGCCAAATCCACGTGGAGCTTCGAGAGTTCACGTTGGTGCAATCTTGCTCATCCTCGAGTGAAGCCGGCGAGTCAACCGCCGTTCGGGAGGGCCCCAGACGGCGGCCTTCTGAGAGGCCGCCCGCGGGACGTTTCGGGGGGTTCGGCGGGGGTCTGCTCTCCTCAGATGTCTGCCTCACGGCTGCTGGCCAACCGCACTTGCTCTGGCCAACGCCCTGCCTGCTCTGGAGGGCAGGATGCTCAAGTGATCCAGATTGGACACCAGACTGCAGGCCCAGGAACTTCAACCCCTTCGCAGGGCGGACGAACCTGCGAGAATGGACTCCCCCGTGCAGCTTCCTGCTGCCTCGGCTGGCTCACGTGGTTCCTTCTGGGAGACGCCCGTGATCAGTCAAGTCTTCATGGCAGGAGCGAACTTCCCACCTATGAAGTTCGTTACCATGGAAGAGGCTCATGGAGATGAGGATATCACATAATGTCATGGGGCATCCTGTCATCTCAATATCACCATCGGCACAATTGGATTCGAGTAGCGACATGCAGAAACCAGGAGAAGGCGAACGCTGCGGTCCATCGGCAGACGAAGATTATCTCAGCTGGCTTGAGGCTCCATAAATGGAGTATAAGCGCCTGAGCTTCAAATGAAAAGGTGCTGACAGGGAACGAGAGGTGTGAAGAGGGTGAGAGGAGGGGAGGGGAGACAAGGATGAGTGAGGGTGCCCCCCCCAAAAAAACAAGACGAAGGAAAGGAGGAGACCTGACAGGATGGTTGGGGAGGGCCGGAGGGCAGAGGAGGGCGAGAACGAAGACCAACATCCACCGTTGCTGGAGTCCTGCCCTGGACCCCTGTGGACCACGACTCCTCGAGAGGTCCTCGAGACCTGGGGGGCACGACCACGAGACGATGGATATGTCATGGGGCCCAAAAGCCGGACGCGGAGACTCTTCACAACGCGGCTCCCCAGAGGTCTGCACCCCATCCCAGGCACTGGCTTTTCATCCCGACTCGTTTGTAAGCGGTCACGGGGCCCAGTGAGGGCTCCTGGAGGCCGAAGGCTGCGTGACTCTGTCCCCGGCGCGAAAATGTCTGAGGGCGGGGGGCGAGGGATTCCGGGGGGAGGCGGAAGAGAAAGCGAAGGGAAACGAGAGCGAGCTCGTTGGAAAGCTCCCGGGCACCAGTCGGCGGGCGTGCACCAGCTCACCCGTGGGCTGGCTGGCGGCGAGGAGGAGCCCCTCGGGTCGGGCGTGCGGCGTGCGGGTACCTCCTCCTCCTCCTCCTCCTCCTCCTCCTCCTCCTCCTCCTCCCCTCCTCCTCCTCCTCCTCCTCCTCCTCCTCCTCCTCCTCCTCCTCCTCCTCCTCCTCCTCCTCCCTCCCTCCTCTCCTCCTCCTCCTCCTCCTCCTCCTCCTCCTCCTCCTCCTCCTCCTCCTCCTCCTCCTCCTCCTCCTCCTCCTCCTCCTCCTCCTCCTCCTCCTCCTCCTCCTCCTCCTCCTCCTCCTCCTCCTCCTCCTCCTCCTCCTCCTCCTCCTCCTCCTCCTCCTCCTCCTCCTCCTCCTCCTCCTCCTCCTCCTCCCCCCCTCGTGATGCTGCTCTCGTCCCCGTTCTTCTGACGAGCCCTGGTCTGGTTGCCAGAGGGCGAGTCGCTGGTGTGAAGTGACTGAGACACAACAGACCGCATGGCTGACGACTGTCCAAAAGCGTCTGTCTGCGCTGCCACGTCGTCTGCACTGCCATACACTGTCCAATGACGCTTACCGTATCCTCACCTCCCCCCTCGCGTATATCACTCAGAAGCTCGTTACGATGACCGTGGGCGCTCAAGAATCAAAGCTGAATAGTGGTGGAGAATCGTGCATGTCGAAAAGCCCGGGGTAAGCAGAGTGTGGGGGAGAGACTTCTGTGGATCACGACACTTCTGCCATGCGCTCGCGATGCGCCCATCATGTCCTGACGCCCCTGCCATGCGCTCGCGATGCACCCATCATGTCCTGACGCCCCTGTTCCGAAGCATGAAAGTAGTAACTATGCACTGTGCATTTTCCATGACTAGTTCCATACGCAGGACGCATCGCATGATACCACGCTTCATGCCTGAGCATAAGCCCATTCAAGCAGATGAGGTCGATACGTCGGAGTCGGCAAAGCGCGAATCCATGGGAAGCAAGACCTGGGCACGACGCATGACCTTGCAAAAACGTCACCCGCAACACAGGCACAAGAACAGCGGCAGCCTCGGAATGACATCGAGAATATCTGCAGCATTCGAAGTACCTGCAAGCGACAAGCTCCGTGTCTCTCGCTGCCCCCACCGTGCTCTGAACGCCGCGCCTGAAGCAGACCCTCATAAGATGCTCCTGGCCCATCATGGAAAAGCCCCCGGGAGTAGACCCACCGGCAGACGGCCCCATCCAACAGCGCAGAGCGCAAGACCCCCAAGAAAGAGCACCGCCCAGCCCCGGCCCCGCACCTCCGCCTGCGACAACAGCGGCTCGAGGCCGCGCGCGGGAGCCGGATGCGCGGCGCAGAGACCAACTCTGGAGAAAAACCCTGGAGGCCTCTCGCGGCAACTTGCTGCCCAACTCACGTCGGACCCACGCCAGATCTGTGTCGAGCTCGCGTCGGATGGCGTCGGAGTTGCGTCTGCCGTCGGACCATCGCCGCGCGAACGTCGCCCTGGCGTCCCACATCTGACGTCGCGGACGTGCGGACCAGATACAGTCGGGGCGTTGACCTAAGGAACCCTAAATAAGGAACGGGGCCCCTTCCTCCCATAAGTTGAGCTTCGATCTCTTATGGAAAACCTCAGGGAAACAGAAGGCAAACTGCAGAACAATCAAGGAACACCGAGCCCCTCCCCAACGAAAAGGGTTCCTTCTTCAGGGCCCCGACAGTAATACGACCTGGTGCGCGGCGCGCGAGGCCTCCAGGATGACCCGCATGGGAAACCGATCTGGGGCACCGTCCTGCCGCTCCCGCCCCCATCACCCCGCAAGGGATATAAAACAGGGCTAGGATCGGGATAAATCGCTCCAAAGCGTTCCGGAGCGCTCTCAGAGCGTTCCGGAGCGCTCTCAGAGCGTTCCGGAGCGCTCTGGAGCGGCCGCGGCGCCCAATACATCCTCCAAACCCGCCGATTCTCAGAGATTTCGAGTTATCCCGATCCGATTTTGTCCCGATCTTCGCGTCGTTTTAGGATACCTCTTCGGAGGGGGCAGGTCAGCCCTGCATCGAATCGGAAAGTCGCAATCGCGCCGCCTAGAGCCGGATCGCTGCGGATCGCCGGCGGATCGAGTCGCAGACCAGGTCGCTGGCGTGTCACATCGAATCGCAAATCAAGTCGAGAGTGGGTCATATCGAATCGGGAACCCGATCGCGAGCCGGTTGACTCGAATCGAACAGCGAACGGGTTCAAGCAGCGGGAGGGAGGTGGAGGAGGAGTCAGAGGAAGAGGCATCGGACGCAGACCTCCGACTAGTCCCAGTCAGGGAACCACTCGGTAGTCCCCTGACTAAGACGAGATTGATGCCATCATACGCTTGAATCAAGATACGTTCCAGGAATTCTGGCTTATCTACTGGCCCTCCTTTCTGCAGCCCGTGTGGAACTTGAGGTAATCTTCGAGCGCCGCCCCCTTCTGGGCGCCACCAACCGACCGAGGCAGAAGACCCCATCCAACAACGCACAGCACAAGATCCCAAAGAATTGCACCGCCCATCGCCGTCCCAGCGCCCGACCTCCGTCGGCGACAGCAGCACAAGGCAGCGCTCTGAAGCCAGATGGGCGGCGCAGGGGCGAGGGCGGTGCAGCACAGTCGACCTAGAGAGCTGCCCTGCCCCTCCCGTCCTCGTCCCCGCACATGGAACTGGAGGGGAAGAAGCGACGAGCACGACCGAGACTGCGCTCGGAGAAGTCGGCGTCGATCCTCGCCATCGTCTACCTTGGTCATCGCCGATTCGTGGATCGTCCTCCAGACGCGGCGACGGCCTGCACGGGGCATGACCAAAATCGGCGTCGACAAAAATCCCGTGACAGAGTCATCCTTTGCAATATGGCGGAGTTGTTTACTCCAGATTTCGTAATAAAGGGAGGGGGGTCTCATTTCGGGGGGGGGTCTCTTCCAGGCCATCTTGGAGGGCCTGGGGGGGTCTGGGGACGGTGTTTTGGAGGGTTCTCCTACGGGGGAGGTCTGAAATTGGCTTGTCTTGGAGGGTCCAGACCCCCTCCCTTGTACTACGGAATCTGGAGCAAGCTCTCGCGGCAGCGGCCGCTCCCGGCCCCGGCCGCTCCCAGCCGCCCCCCCCAGGTAACGTCACGACTCGTGCTGACGTCTGCGTTGCCTTTAGTGGTTCCTGAGGTTCCCAGACAGCGCCGGCGCGCGTGACGCTGCCCGCCCTCTCCTCCCCCCCCACCCCCGGGGAACGCTCGCTCTCGCCCAGGGATAAAAAAAAACTGTTTCTGTGCCCTCGAGAATACCCTCGGCGGAGTGCACACGCCACGAGAATGGATACGCTGACACGCTCCGACGAACTGTGCCTGTGCCTTCAGGGAGGGCGGCGGTGTATGAAGCCGCTGGCCCTCAGTGACGATTGATACACCGCCACCCACCCGTGAACAATCCATCGGAGGGCGTATATATATATATATATATATATATATATATATACATATATATATATATACCAGGGACCCCCAAATACATATATATATATATATATATACCAGGGACCCCCCTCAGATCTAGCCTCCCCTTGGAACCCTCCCGGGACCCCCCCCCTGGACAGCTCCAGGCACCCCCCCAGAGGAGAAGAGAGAGGACCGGAAGAATCGAGGAGGGAGGAGGCCACAGAGCCGCGAAGATCGCCGAATCCTGAGCACCCCAGATCGGCGGCACTGGCCGGAGGCCATTACAATATACATATACATACACATAAACATACATATAGGATTGCTTATAACTATATATATATATAGATGTATTTTATTTTTTATGTACATATGCTGCGGAGAAAGTGGGCAGTGGCGACGGCCTTCGTCGAAGCGTGGCCTGCACCACCTCGGCACGGCCTGCAGGAGGGCCGAGGCCTCGGGGGGCCAGCCCGCGCGCACACCTCCTGCGCCCAGAGCGGGCCGCAGCGCCGCTCGACCAGGCCGGTCCGAGGCCCAGCCCTCGTTGGGAAGCAGCTGCTGGGAGGTCTTCGTCGGAAAGATCAGGGAGGATCCAGCCCCATTGCGGGGCTGTTGCGCCAGAATGGGCCTCGGATTAAGCGGGATTGAGCTGGATTGAGAAGGAATTGAGTCAGATTAAGCGGGATTAAGCGGGATCAAGCCGGATTAAGCCGGACTTCGGACCAGGGCAAAATCAGATTTTGACCTCCCAGGAGTCGCATCCGAACCCTCGGGATCGCCAAGTACGAGAACGGCGCCTACAGTGGAGGCCAGTCCACAATAACCCTTCCACGAGAAACCCAACCCTGGGACCCCAGGACGTCCTTCGATTCTTGGTGCGGGAGCGTCGCGCTATCCATCGCAGAACCTTCGAAGCCCAAGAGACCTGGAGGACCCCGGAGGCAAGCAGGGTGTTTCTTGGCATGGGTCCCCACTGTGCGCACCTTACCCTGTCTGGACTCCCTTGACGCCCCGCTCCAGCGCGGAAGGCCCAAGAACTGTGCACCGTACCACTCCCAGGTCGACGATGGACGACGCCTCGAGGGGGGCGCCAGCGCGTCACGGTGCTCGTCCGTGGACGCAAGGGGGGGGGGGGGCAGGAAGAGGGGGGGTCAGCGCACCTCAGCCAGAGGCATGTGCGCGGACGAGGGGGGGGCCCGGGGAGCGCGCTGGAAGAAGAAGAAGAAGAAGAAGAAGACAAGGCCATGAAATCGAAGGAGGCACATGGACCAAGCCACGAGATCCACGCCCCCCCTGGTCTGCACCCCCTGTTCCCAGATGTGGGACGCCCTGCTTGTCTCGATACGCATTCCCTAGAAGTCCCGACCCCCTCCCCGGCACAGGCGTTTCATCCCAAGTCGTTTTTGTTACATCCCAGGTGTCTGGCGAGGACCCCACGAGACCGAAGACGGCCAAAAGCCCCCCGTCGTTGTCTCCACGACGCGAGCATGTCTGGGCTGGACTCCTCCGAAGGGCCTCCTGCTCTCCCGGCGCCGAGGAGGCTCGTGGGCCATCCCAGAGCCGGGGAGCCGCCCCGGGAGAGGGCCTCGCCTGGGCCCGCCAGAGGGTCCGCGGCCCGCCACCAGGAGGCCCGACCCGCGCGCGGCGCCCCCCCCCCCACTGCCCCCGCGAGGCCCCCCCGCGGCCCCTGACCCGGCTGGGCGGCCTGGACACCCAGACGCGTCCCTCCCAGCGAGGAGGAGCAGGAGGAGGAGCAGGAGGAGAAACGGGAGGAGGAACAGGAGGAGGAGGAGGAGGAGGAGGAGGAGGAGAAGAAGGAGTCCTCTCCTCCTCCTCCTCCTCCTCCTCCTCCTCCCTCCTCCTCCTCCTCCTCCTCCTCCTCCTCCTCCTCCTCCTCCTCCTCCTCCTCCTCCTCCTCCTGACCAGGGCGAACATGGCGACGACGAGGAGGGGCCGGAGCAGCAGCCGCAACAGCAGGACGAGGAGGAGGGGAAGGACGGGGAAGCCGAGACGGCAGGCTCATGACATGTCGACTCTGGCATTCAGACAAGCGGGCTCAACTACTTACTTGCGAGGTAGCTGCACGCAAATGGCCTGGATCCGCCGCGGGGGATCTACGATCCACTACATCGAGGCAAGCATGTGTTTGTCGAACGTTTGCGAGCGGGCAAATTGCGAGTAATAGTGGAACGCGCTCGGTGAGCATTGGTCCTCGACACCGTGATGATCCTTCAACCTTGAACGATCAACAGCTTTTTGATCGCCAGATCGTTCCACTTTGGCCGCTTTGGGGCCACTGGCGGCGTTCAACCTTGAACGCCCGCAGCGGAATCGCCGCCGGTCGACACGACGCGAACCTACCATACGATCTTTTCAATCCGCGGCCCCAGAGCTCCCGACCCCTTCCATGGGGGCTGGTTTTTCGTCCCGGATCCGTGTTCGGTGGTCCTTCGGCCCGATGGCAAGCCCCAAATCAAGGAAAAGCGCCCTCACTGAAAAAAATCATGTCGCCGGAGATCTGGGAGGACGGAGGAGTGTGCAGGGGGGGGGAAGGGAGGGCGCGAGTGAGGAGACGAGGCGGCCCCGGAGCGAATCTCTGCAGCCCGCGAGCGCGGACGCGCAGGCCGGCGGCGGCCAGGCGGGGGGGGGCGGGGATACTCCGAGATCGTCCGGGGGATGATGAGCTGCGCCTGGCCGCCCGCGTCTGGGCGTGGGCTTGCCCGCAGACATCGCGCGGGCCGACCCGTGGAAGGGGGGGCACTAAGATCCTGTGGCCAGGACGTGGTTTCCTCTTGTTGGACAGGACGTGGTTTCCTCTTGTTGGACCCTGCGCGCCCCTCACAGAATGACGAGGGAACGATGGACAGAAGGAATCAGACGAGGCCCGGGGGAAGGCAACCACGAGCCCAAAGCGCAGAAAGGACACAGCGGGAGGACAGGAGGCGACAAAGCGACGAGAGAAGACGACATCCTGGGACCAGGACTGGTGCAAGGAAAACAGGAGCACGACGGAGACTGCGCGCGGAGAAATCGGCGTCGATCGTGGTAGTCGTCCACCTTGGTCACAGCCGATTCGTGGATCATCCTCGCGAATGGGCGACGGCCAGCATGGACCACGACCGAAGCCGGCGTCGGCAAGATCCCGCGACATCTTGGTCATGGTATCGTGCTTAGTCCCTCGAGTACATCAGTGAAGGGGCCCCAGGACACACAAATAAATACACACAAATAAAATAATTCCCCATAGTTTCTCATATTTTCTTATATTTTCTGAGTTTTTGTCTTCCCCCCCACTTCCCATATTTTCCCATATTTTCTGGGGAATTGAGGATTAATTGTGTCTGTGTGTTTCTTTTCCTCCTGAATCAGGTGCGTCCAAGAAAACAGCGTCCAAGACGGGGGTTCGCAGAGCATGGCCCGAGGCACGTGCGCAGCCGAGGGGGGGTCACGAGACGGACTGAAGCGAGAAGGGGCGACACGAGGCCTGGGGAGATCTCCTGGCCGCCGCCACGATGTCCACCCCACCCCCCAATCATCACCCTCCTCTTGGCCGCTCCCGATCTTCCACCGAGCACACGCCTTCCCGATCGGGCCAGGACGGCGCCCGCTCGGATGCCGAGGCCCGGGCCGGGCCTCGGCGGGTGATCGGTGCAGCGTGGGGTGCTCGGCTGGCGTTTGCCGACCGCGATGGCGGCGACGGCCTGCGGCGACGATTGCACGGTCGAGGCCTTGCCAGAGGGGAGCATTCTGCGGCAACCCAGGGGAGCCTCCCATGCCATCTTGCTGGCCCCTGCGAAGCGACGCCAATCGACGCCGAGCGAGGCTGAGCGACACTACATCGACGCCAATACACGCTGTTCGATGCCAGTCGAGGCTCATGGACGCTACTCGACGCTAGTCAGCGCTAAATCGGCGCTGTCTCATCGACTACCAGACCCTAATCGACGGTAGCGCATTCTCAATACCGAATTACGAGGGCATACAGGACTCCCATGACGCAGACGCAGACGCAGACGCGCGAGTCCGCGGGCCGGCGGGGCGGCAGGCCACTTAGGGGCGGTGCGGGCGGGCCGGAGCCCGGTCACGGGCAGGTGAAGTTGCAGAAGCCGCTCTCAAAGTCCGCCCAGAATCTGGAAGTGTGGCACTCTGCAACTAAAACCATATGCAAAGATTCTGCGATGTCGTCAACCTCCACCGTTTTCGCTGTCCGCCGTGTCGGCGTCGTGCTGCCCGGGGGTCTTGGATATCAGGTTCCCATGCCGCCGCCAGTCGGGCCCAGCTGTGGTGGTTGTGTAGCAACGCGCCCAGCCCATCTCCATTTACGTTCGTGAAATATTGCAACCCATTCCTCCACATGTGCGCGCGTCGCAAGGTCTGAGGCGGTGTGGGTAGCCCTGCGAATGAAATTGTCCCAAGATTCAAGGTCGGACTCGTCGTCGACGTCGACAAAGTCTAGTTGCTGTCTGACGCTTGGCTTGCTGTCGTCACTTATGCTGTCGTCATGCTGTTCACTGTCGTTGTGTTTTCGTCGGTGCTGGCGTGGGGTTGTCTCTGTCGGCGTCTCGAGGTATTGACAATGAGTCGTAACATGCGTCGTTGGGTGCGTCGGAGTGTCAGGAGCATGTCTTTGGTGAGAGTCCACGTTGCGCAGCCATACATGACCGTTGGCGTCACCGTCCCGTTGAAGAGCCTGAGCCTGCTGCGAAGGGGGTACCGGCTGTTTGTGAGCTCGTGGCGGAACTGGTTGAATTTGCGCCACCCCGTTGCAAGTCTGTTGGTGAGCTCGGTCTGGTGGAAGTCGTGCAACGTCAAAGTCGCGGAGCCCCTTCATACACCTGCGGTCGGGCACGGCGGCGGCGTGTCGCGGCTGCTGCCCCGGCGACATGCTGTGCCCTGCGAACGAATGGCGTGTCGCCCCGCTCCGCGGGGCGGGAGGCCGGCAAAAACTCGATACGTTGAGGCCTGGAGACTGGTACGTAGATAGCGTGTCGCGTTCAGGCTTGGTGGGCCAGAACTGGCGGCGTGACATGCTAAGCAAAGGAACCTGGCCGCATTTCTTCACTCGCTGCTGAAACTCTGGCTCTGAAAGAGGCGGCACTAGCCGTGACGAAGGTCATGCCAAATCGCCATCTGTAGCTGCAGTCTTGCCTTCATTGTCTTATATCAACTAATTATGCTGATCGCACAGCTGTGCACTTTCAATCGTGGCAGGTTCAATCGGCCAACTCAGCTTGTGCTTGAGGCTCCGTCAAAGAAAAAACGAAGCCCCCTTTTGTCCCCAACTGCGCCCAGGCTTGCGAGGAGCGCCTGAGGGAAGGCCAAAGGTAAGACCCGAGAAACATGAGGTCTCTCTCTCTCTCTAGTTATCCTTCTATATCCCTACCTCTGAAACCAGCGAGGTCATTGTTACAACGGCTTGGCTGTACCACCATTCGCCCACGCCCTCTTTTTTTATCATCACCCACGCCTTCGTTGGATCCACCTCGCTGGATCGACCTCACCTGCTCCTCCTCCACCGCTCCCCCGATCGTCTGTTGTACCTGTCAATCTTTGCTGCGCCCAGGCGAGACCGCTGCTGCGTCGAGGCTGCCCCCCCGTCCAAGTTGAGGAGGTCTTATCGCCGTCCAGCGGGAGATTTGACAGGACTGCGACGACTCGAAACCTCAGCATGGGCACGGAGAAAGCCGTCGTGCGGAGCAGCCGCCGCCAAGTAAAGCACGAATGTGTTTCGGGCTGCTGCCTGATCCAGCAAGCTGCATCATGACCTCACATCGTTCAGCCAATGTACCGTGGTCGCATCCGGATGAAAACCACTCCTGGCATGGAGTGGAAAAGATCGCGGGGGCCGTGAGCCTCCTTTTCAGCGCGAGACCTGCTTTTCCCAAAACGGGCAGGTCCCAAGCTAAGACTCATACGGCATAGGGGCAAAAGGGAAAGGACCGAAGTGGGGCGGTGGAGAGGGAGGCAAGAAGCCTGTGATTCCGAAATTTCCAGAACTTGCCCCGCGTTGCAAAAGCAATGCCCAAAATCGAACAAGTCGATGCCGAAGCAGTAGACGAATTGGGCACACTGGGAAGGTGGTGCAATGGAGGGACAGACAAAGTGGAAGGAGACCAGGAGGGGGCAGGAAAACGCTATCCACTCTCCCCGGCTCTTCCATCCCTCGCGAAGGGCCTGGGATCGCCGCAGGCCGCCGTGTGCGAGATCGTCAAGCCTCCGCGGGCGTGCGGTGAGGTCGAGCAGCCAACGGCAGAGGCATGGCCCACAGGCCTGAACAGAGAAGCTCGGGCCAGGTGCGGACACACACTGCAGCGAAGCGAAAGGGCAGAGATAACGAGGACACAGACGACGACACGGACGTCCAGCTCCAAAAATCCGCACGGACTCCTGGCGTCGGCGCTGGACCCCACTCCCCGCACCTCCGAGACGGCCCCCGGAAGAGTCCGCCGGCGCACGCGGCCCCCAGGAAGCCCAAAGAGAGACCACCCCGAGAGGCTTCCCAAACTCCACAAAGAGGACCCCTCAGAGATCTTGCAGCCGTCGTGCTACCCGGAGGAGCGCCGAAGCAGGTACGCGCGAGAGGGGGCTCCTTTGGCCACGGCGCGACCCGGCCACGGACAGGTTATTCCTGGCGTCCATCTACGCAGCTGCCCTCCTCCTTCTCCTCCTCCTCCTCCTCCTCCTCCTCCTCCTCCTCCTCCTCCTCCTCCTCCTCCTCCTCCTCCTCCTCCTCCTCCTCCTCCAGCGGTCCTGCTTCCAGCGTCTCGACTGTCGTGAGGCCCCCGGGGAGCCCCAGACAGACCCCAAGAGGCCCCCAGAGGCACGCGAGGGCCTCCGAAGCTGCCCGGGGGGGCCCACCAGACCCGCGCGAGTACCTCGCTGCAGGGGATGGTGGGGTCTCCTGCGCTCGCTTCTGCCCTCGCCAGGAGGCGCGGCGCCCCCTGCTTCCTCCAGCCCCAGGTAAACCTGGCAGCCGTCCTCGGTGCTGTCCCGGGAGCCAACGGAGCCAGGCGCCAGGGCGGTCTGGAGGCGAAGTGCGCCGAGGGCGCTTTCCTCGGGTCGGCTCTCTTGCCACTGCGGAGGGGTGAGCGCGCGCAGGGCGCTGGGATCGGCAAGCTGCCCTGGGCCTCGAGCAAAGATTACCAGGCGTACGACCAGCTTCAGGGAGGATCCCATGGCATGGCCGTGCGAATGTCGGCAAACTCGTGCGTGGGATCTGGAAATCGTCGCCCTGCACAGCGCCTCGGAGCGCGAGGCCTCGGGAGTGTCACGGGGCAGCGAGCCCGACGCCGACGCTGCGGAGGTCGCGTCGTCCAGCTCCCTCAGAGCAGCCGCGGCCAACAAGAGGCGTGCGCAGTCGCAAGTGTGGGGGGGGCGCGGGGCAGCGCGCCGTTGCACCCCCATGTGACCGGGCGGGTGGAGGAGGGCATCCTACTCGTGGAGCGGGCCAGGGCAGGCGGCACGGGGAAGGAAAGCGGGCAAGAACCGAGCGCTGCCGAAGGGGGCACCCCTGGAGCGAGCGTCGGTCTGGTTGCCGACCCGGCTCGGGATGGTGAGATGCCGAATCAGGGACCCCGCCCGGGCGGGACGCGCGCGGTCCGGAGCCAGACCGACGTAGCGTAGCAGAGCCTGCCACCAGACTGCCAGGCACACGTGGTCCGTCTCGCACCCGAACATGGGGTGAATGGTGCAGGCTTGGGACGAGTTTGCGGTCGCACTTCAGGGGGTCCAGGGGAGAGTTGCTGGAGTTGTTCTCGTGAGTAGGCCACCGAAGAACGATCAGTTCCGCGCGCGACCCAGATGCTGAGAAGCCCGCGGGATGTACCCTGCGGAAGGACCCCAGGAAGACCTGTTGCCAGGCTGGCGAAAGCGCCTCCTGTTGACGTCCCTGAGTAGACTGGCGGGGCGGGTGTGCAGGCACGGCGGTGGTTAGGGCTGCTTCGCGGGAGAGAAAGGAGAAGGCGATCCGAATTCCGACCTTTTCCGCAAGCTTCACGACCAGCCAAGCCGCGAGGGCGCCGTACCAGAGATGCGGAAGCCCAGCCTCGTCGTTTGCGGCGGCCATGGCGATGGTGAGGATGACGGCTCACGTCTCTTGCCGCGGGCAAATGTGACTGCGTGAACAATCGAAATTGCTGGAAATGTAGGCAGCGTTGGACCGCACGCGGGAAATAAGGACCAGGTCGGCTTCGTCTCCATCCACATTCTCAACAGAGCAGATGCGCACTGTACGCCACCTGTTGCCGATGCCTTTGGAAATGAGGAGCTGTTTGGTGGGGACTGCGGAACGATTGTACGGGGTGGGCATCACGGGACCGCGAGGGAGCGAACAACCTTGGTTGAGAAGCTCGACCTGCAGCTTGCAAGGGGTGATGACCGTGACGTGGATGTCGTTGCCCTAACGGTGCGGCATGACTCCTTCCAGAATACGGATCAACCCGAACGAATCGCAGAGGTTGCAGTGACTCCTTCCTCTGTACCGTTCCAGCGGCGGCACGTGCAGAATGAGGACGCGGTCGTCGCCCCCGACGGGGGGGGCATTCTCGGGAACGGGTTCGGTTTTGGTGAGGGGGGCAGCCCGAAGCCAACAGACGGAGAAAGGCGCGCCCCCAGCTGGGCCACGGATGGGTTGGGTGGCAGAGGTAGCGGGCGTTTGCGGGGCAGGCGCCTCGGCGCGGACAGCCGTACGCTGGCCACTCGATCCTTGGCATGGGAGGGCGAATGGTGGCCGGGCTGCCTCTGTCAAGCCCGCACAGCAAGTGGCCCCTGTAGCACTGCAAGGCGGAAAGGCGCAGATGCACGGGCGCATGCGGAAGCCCACGTCGACGCAGATGACCATGGACGGGCGGGCTTCAACGAGGGTGGCCAATTTCTCGAGCAGAGACGCGTTGATGCCCATAGCCACCGCCGCCTCCGAGCGATTGTACGGGCCGAGCTGCGTGTCGCCCCCGATGAGTGAGCCCCGTCGGCAACGACCATGCTGAACGGAATAACGGCCATGCTGAACGGGATGACAACGAGCGCCTCGAGGCACGGACCCGCCTCTTCCAGAAGGAGGGCGCGAATGTCGGGGCCATCGTGCCGATTTCCACGCTCACTTGTAAGCCAGCGGCGCAGAGGGTCCTCAAACGCGGGCAGCAGAGAACGCGCTAATTACGATCGAGCATTGCCGAAGGCGCAGCGGACAAAGCGTCGCACACTGCAACATGCATCGCTTGCACACACACACACACACACACACACACACACACACACACACACACACGTTTTGGGGGCGTCGCGGCCCTGCGCGCGGCGACACGACGTAGAAGGTCGGAAAACAATGAACCGTGCGCGTTTACGCCCGCCCTGGCACTCAGAGACCACTTGCGGCCTCGCAGCCGCCGGCAGACATAACCATCTGGGCGTGGATGGCGGAGAGGGGGTGGTGAGCAGACGAACCTGCGGTGGGCTACACACGCACTCACCCTCGAGCGCCGCAGGCGGGGCAACGAAGCCGTGCGGCCGTCCGCTCGTCACGTCCGACGGGCAACCGCCGGGCCAGGCAAGGGCAAAAGGGGGCAAGCGCGCCGGCCCATCGCGGGGCAGTGGCGGGCCGGGGCAGGGGGGCGGCAGGGCGCCGGCGCGGCCAGCGCACGGTGGGGCAACGCCGCCAAACGGGCGACGCTGGGGAGCGGGGCGGCGGGGCAGGCCGCGGGAGCTCCAGACGGAGGCGGCGGCGCACCATGGCCCACTGGACCACCGCGTCGCCGTCCTCCACCAGCGGGCAGCCGAGCGGCGCCTCCCGATCCATCGATCGAGAGGTCGGCGGCCAGGGCGCCGTGGCAGGCAGCCAGGCAGCGCGGGAGGGGGCGGCTGGCGGCGGCCGCGCGGCCGCGAGCGGGCCCGAGGAGGTCGTGCCGCGCGCAGGCTGCAAATTGCAGCACTGAGGCTGCCAAGCGAGAGGCGCACGTCGGTGAACAGCGTCCGGTCCGCTTCGCGCTTTGCCAAGGCCCAAGGCCCCTGGCCTGCGGGCCGCAGCCCTTGACACAGACCTGGAGGGAACAGACATGGGGGGGAACACGCATCGGCTGGCCGCTCCTGGCCGCCTTCGCACTGCCAAGCCACGTCGGAGTGCACAGAGGAGGAGCCGGAGCAGGAGAAGAACGACGAGGAGGCGAGACGACGGGGAGGGACGCGTGCACTTGGCCCCCTGCGCATTGCTGGGGGACGGCCTGATTCGGCCGACGGGTCGCACAGCGCGACCAAATACCACAGGTCGAGCACGATGCGGGCTGGCGGGGCAAGACGATGCTAAGCGCTGCACCCCGACGGCGGGCGGAACCGCGCCCGTGGCGTAGGGGCAGGGCAGGGCGGCAAGCGGGGGCAGCCGCATGCCGACGGACTGCTGGCGTCGGGGTGAGGCGACGCCGCGGCTGGCGAGGAAGCGAAAGCAGAGGGGAGGCGGCGCGACGGCCGCCAGCGCCCCGCTGGCGCCTTGTGGAGAGGGGGGTGAGGCGACGAGCTTGGCGAGATTAATAGCCGACGATCCTCGCGGCGAAGCCGTCTCTGGATGATTGTCGATGGCGGCCCCTGCCCATGCCGAGACTCGAGTGCTACTTTATACAATGGCAGAGCGGGTGAGAGTGAGCGAGGCAGCTTGCGGCGTTCCCGCTGGAAACTTGACCTCTCCCCCTGCCCCCCACCCCTGAGTCGGCCCAAGATGGCTCAAAGAGGGCCTCAGAGAGGCCAAGATGGCCTCCAAGATGGTGCAAGACAGCCCAAGATGTCTCCTTCCAACATGCCTCAAAGAGGCTCAAAGACCGTTCCAACAAGGATACAGGTGCCATCGGAGCCTCCCAGGAACATTGAGTTTCGCCTTCTCGCCTTTTCGTGTCCCATGGGCTTGGAAAGCCTCCTGATGGCTCCAGGATGGCCCAAGAGGGCCCCATGAGGGAGCCAGGAGGGCTCCGCGACGGTCCAAAGCGCATCCAAGAGCGACCCAAAGGGCGCCCCGAGAGGACCCCAAGAGGCGCTTCTAGGCAGTCCACAGAGGCAGGGCTATCAAGTAACCCTCCTCGTTGATCGATGTCCTCCGAGAACCCCCCTTCATTGATCGATGTCCTCCCTCCAAGATTGACCCAAGAAGGCTCCCAAAGCTCCAGAATGCGCTCCAAAATGGCTACAAGAGGGAACCAAGATACCTCCAAGATGCCTCCAACAGGCTCCCAAAATGAACATTCTGGATTCGCACCAGCCTTTATGGTCGAATCGTCGTCCCCATTCCTCCTCCTCCTCCTCCTCCTCCTCCTCCTCCTCCTCCTCCTCCTCGCCCTCCTCGCCCTCTTTTGATATAACGATGATAACGATGTTACGTGCAACTCACTATTGGGCCTTCTCAGCCTGCTCGCGAGCTTTCGTTCAACGGCCAGATTATGTCGAGGCAACCTTTCTGAATCGGCTGGTGGGGATACGTTTTTGGGGTACGCAGGCTCGCGAAGCGGGTCGAAAGCAGGGCAAAGCTAACCGAAGCAACAGCTGGTGGGGATACTTTTTGGTCGCAGCCGCAGGCGAGAGCGCAAGCGGCGAGTCGTACTGGTGGGGATACCTTTTTGGTCAGCGGGCGTACGCGACAACAATTTGAACCCCTCCGCCCCCAGGTGGGCTTAGATAGAGTTTGACGCGCTCCCTTCGCATGACTACTCGTCCTGGAAAATCGGGCGGGTGTCGCACGCCTCCACAGGACAACATTCAACGCAGCATGGTCGTGTTAAATGGTGTACTTGTACTCGGGGCTTCGGGGGGGGACCTGTCCACGACCCAGGTGGGCTGGCGGAACAGGCCGAAGACAAATTGATCCGCCGCACGCGTAGCCTGCCGGGGGAGTGCTTGTCGTGCCAGATTATGTGGCTTTGTTTGCTCTTCCTAAACGTTCCCAGTGGCCTCAGGCCCGGGCCCGCTGCCACCGCAAAAAGACCAGCCAACCTGGAAAATCCGCCTCCGAGACGCCCAAAAGTCTCCAGGCTGTCGACCCCGAGACGCCTTAATGACGGAGAACGACCGCAAGACGGCCAGAGAGGGCCCAAAAGACGGCTCAAGAGTGGCCCATGACGGCCATGAGATCCCTTGAGGGCTCCAAGAGGCCCCCGAGACTCTCCACATGGGCCCACCAAGACGGTCTCCGAAGCGCCAGACGGCCCGACTGCCCGACTGCACCCTGGGACGGCCCAGGCGAGACCCAACGTGGCCCAAGGGAAGCACGAGAGGCCCCAAAGAACGCCCAAAGAGCTCGAACAAAAAAAAGGGGTAGCTCCAACATAACCCCAGAGGTCTCCTCCCTAGTGCCCCCCCAGCTGCTTTCACGAGTGCTGGGATAACAGGCAGTCCAGTAGCATGGCCTCACCTTCGCTCGACACGTCACTACACAGGCACTACTGAAAGGCAGGGGGTCGGCGGGGGTCTCTCGTAGTCGTCTTCGGTCCGCACCCCCCGCAGTCTGCCAGGAGGGGGGGAGTTGACGTACCAGATGTTATCATATTGCTGGGCCCTCCCAAAATGTTCCCCGCTGCTTTCTGCACAACCCGACGCAACCCAAACCACCTTAAAAGAACTGGCAGCAGTATAAACATGAGGATGTACGCTGTGCTTCGTGCTGCACCGCTGAAGGTAGCCCAGCGAATATTATTCGAAGGACAACCAAAATATCAAAACAATGTGTGATCCGGCAAACGGCATCAAGACCTGATGGGCATCGCGTTCCTGAAGCCAACATACACTTGCCGTACGCATGTGCTCCGCAAGTGCCCCTCCCATGGAGCATAACGCGCATATCACTAAGACCCCCCCACTTGAGCGCCTCTGATCCGAAAAAGACTCCTCGTCCAATTCGACCTCCGGGCTCACCTGCCCACCACAACAACGAGCATGCAACTGAGGGGGGAGAAGAGGCGAGAGCTGACAAAACAGAGGAGGGCGGCGGGATGATTGAGAAGGCGGGGGACGGGAAACGGGAGAACGAAGAAGGGAGGAAGCAGGAAGGGAGAAAGGCGGGTGAGCGGCGAGTGCCTTGTTCAAGACGATGTCCCAACATTGTGCAGAGCAGAGCAGAGCAGAGCAGAGCAGAGCAGAGCAGAGCGCGCCAGTGTCCGCCGAGGCGGCGGGGCCTGAAGGCTGGCGCGGGCAGGCCGGAGCCCTCATGTGCGGAAGTGGACGTTCCCGACTGTCGGTGCTGAAGCTGCGGAGGCTGGAGGTCGATAGGTGGACGCGAAGGTGGAAGTGGACAGTGGGATGCTGGAAGCTGGAAGTCGGAAAGGTCCGCTTGTGGAGTCCGTCGGTCGATCGGTGGAGGTGGCGGTGGAAAGTTGGAAGCTAGAGGCTGGAGGTCGTGATGTGAAACTGGTGGAGGCTGGAAGCCGACAGGCACGGGTGGAAGTGGTACCTTGAATGCTGGAAGCTGAATGTCGACATGCTGAGCCGGTGACGGCCGAAGGTCGATAGGCGGAGGTGGAAGTAAAAAGGTGGATGCTGGATGCTGGAGGTCGGTGTGCTGAGCTGGTGGAGGTTGGAAGTCGATTGGTGGCGAGGAAAATTGGATGCCGGATGTCGGAGTGCTGAGCTGGCGGAGGTTGGAGGTCGATCCGTGGAGGTGGGGGTGGAAAGTGGGATGCTGGATGCTGGAGGTCGGGGTGCTGACCTGGTGGAGGTTGAATGAAGGCCGATAGCTGCAGGTGGCGGTGGGAAGATGGCTGTTGGATGCTGGATGCTGCAAGTCGGGGTACTGAACTGGCGGAGGTTGGAGGTCGGTAGGTGGCGGTGCAGGTGGAAAGATGGACGCTGGATGCTAGAGGTCGGAATGCTGGACTGGCGAAGACTGGACGTCGGAATGCTATAGAGACGCTGTCTCCAGGCTGCTCAATGTCGTTCTGCCTTCTGCCAGCGTGAACCCTCATTGCTCGTCTCGTTCAAAAGACGTGTGTCACCCGAGGAACTGTACGATATCATCCTTCCATTTTTTGCGCTGGCCTCGGGGTCTGCGTAACGTTCGATGCTCATTCTGGGGACCTTCCTGGAGCCACTCGCTCCACTCGTGCGTCGAAGCTGCGTCGAACCTGAGTCGAACCTCGGTCGAACTTGAGTCGAACCTGAGTCGAGCCTGAGTCGAATATGAGTCGAACCTCGGTCGAACTTGAGTCGAACCTGAGTCGAACAGATCCGTTGGGTGGGCCCCAGGAAGGTCCCCGAAATGAGCATCGAAGTAACGCTTGCTGTCAGACGTGTGTGTGTGTGTGTCCAGCTCCCATGGCGCAGCAAGCCGTGTCCACCTGTCGTACGGCAGTCCGGCCACTCGTCCTGCCCATCGCCACCTGCGTCGCAAGTACATCGTCGTCCATTCGTCTACGTTGGCCCGTTTTGCAGTGGCTGTTGCCCTGCGCATCGCTCTGCATACGAAGTCTTCCCACAATTCCAGTCTGGCATCGTCGTCGCCAGCATCGAGGTCCAGCCGTTGCCTGCTGTCGTTTGGAGTGGTGTCGGGTTTGCTTCCGTCGTCGAAGTGGGTCCCGTCGTCAGCATTGTTGGTGTTGCTTCTTGCGACGATGCTGTGTCTCGTTCGATGCCTCGGGGTGTTCACAAGGAGACGTAACATCCGCCGTTGGGTGCGCCGAAGTGTTAGAATTTGTCTTTGGTGAGGGTCCACGAACTACGGGCGTACATAACTGCTGGCGTTACGGCTCCACTGAACAGCGGGAGTCTGCTGTAAAGCGGGTACCTCTTGTTTGTGAGTTCGTTGCGAAATTGGCTGAAACGGCATCATCCAGAGGCGAGTCAATTGAAAGACTCAGTCTAATAAAAATCATGGGACGCGAACTTGCAACCAAGCTATTTGGTGGACTTGTCCACGCTGAAAATTTCAATGCTGTCCCGGTCCAGGTCGGTGTGCGTGATTGTCCGAGGAATGCAAAAAGCATCAAGAGGGCTCATCGGTAGCACTGCCACTGGCGATCCCTCGTAAGATTCGCTGTGACTGAGGGGCCAAAGATCAGATTTGCACACGCGTGGTGTCACAGCTGTGGACCTGCAGCCCAAACACGTTACATCAAATCACCCATCACTCGTCCTACGGGGAGCGAGTGCTGTTGGGGGATAGACCTTCAAACTGCATGCTCACATCCCCACTGTGGCCATATGTGGGACTCCTCGTGATGCACGACGTGTGTGCAGAATGTGTCTCATCCAGGCGCAGACTACTCAAGAACACTGGACCTCTTCCCTCCTGGGCCAAAAGAAGAAATGAACAGCATGCCGAATCATGGTGCGACCCGCGCAGAAACGCCGCAATCAGGACAACAGGTGGGCGAGATCAGGTGGAGGGGGCACGAAAAGGTTCAGGGGCATTCCAAATCGAAGCAGTGCTCCCATGGAGGCACGTGTAGCTTCCCCTGTGCGGCGTAAAATCCAAGAGGGATGTGCTGGATTTAGGCGCGGACAGGATAAGAATGCCCCAACCGACGCCAAAGGTGAATCACCCTGACGGGCACGGAGCGCGGAAGGGTGTTCTACATTTGAGCGCGCACCGCATAGGAACGCTGCCTGCGAAACCATAGGTGAAGCCCCCAGCTGGGCACGAAGCGTGAGAGAAGTACCGACTCAAGGCCCGGACCGCATAGGAACGCCCCACTGAGACCGTCAACGAGGCACCCGAAGGAGACACGAAGCGCGCGAGGGTGTGCTGCACTGAAGCGCAGACCGTAGGGGTCCGCTGGGCACCACCTGGAAGCTACCCCGATCCGAAACAGAAATACAACGTATGGCTGCGGCTGCACGACTGCACGCATGGCGCGGCCCTGGGCGACGCGCGGACTCGGCGGCCGTTCGGGGAGCAGCCGAGGAAGAGAGGTCGACGTCGGCCGCCGAGAGCCAGGTAACAGTGAGGCACGGAGCGCGCGAGGGGCGCTCCGAGATGTCACGGCGGCTGCGGGGGCAGCAACAGCTGCAGGGAGGAGAGGACGCTGGTGGGAAAGGGGGATGGGAGAGGGAGGGAGAAGAGGAGGAGGGAGGAGGCTGGAGAACGGAGAGTGGAGGAGGGAGGAGAAGGAGGACGAAGGAGGAGAGAGAAGAAGAGATCGAAGAGAAGTGAAAGGAGGGAGGGAGGAGGAGGCGGAGGAGGAAGAGGAAGAGAAAGAGAAAGCGGGGGATCTGGACAAAAGAAGAGTAAGAAGCAAAGAGATAACGAAGACGCAACTCTGCGGGAGGCCTGGGAACGAAAGCAGCTTGCACCCAACCTGAGGTATGCTGGCACTCGTGCCTTAACTCGCCGAGCCTAGATTGTGTTCTCGGGTCGCTGGGGCGTGTCAGAATGCACGGTAATTTGCTGTCTGGCTAAATTTCTGTCGTCATTCCAAGGCCGCCCCGCCCCTGTCCGTCTCCTGGCAGCGCGCGCAGTCCGAGGTCCGACCACCCCCCCACCCCCCACGTGTCTTCTCCCTGGCGTTGCTGTCGGCCTATAGGCAACCTCAAAGCAGCAATAGACCGCTGCAGAAACGGCTGCAAGGCGCTCCAAGACAGTCGAAGCACGGCCAAGAAAGGACCCAAAGGCTCCGAAGTACCCCAGTATGCCCCAAGAGCCCGAAGAGGCCAAAGACATGAAAAAGCATGATGATAAAATATACGCGTTTCTTCTGGCACGTTTCCGCTGCGGGTCCACCCAGTGCGGTCTCGGACCGTTTCGGGGCTCTCCGACGTCTGTCTGAGACAACTCCAAGACGGCACGAAGACTGCACGAGAACCCAGAAAGACGGCCCAGCCGCCCCTACCATTAAATCAAGACTCTTCGTAAAAGCTCAGTAGAACCACTGCGCCCAAAACGGCCCGTAGACCCCCAACACGCTCCCAGCGGGTCTGAAACTAAACTTCTTTTAAGCTGCGCGGCTGCGCTGGCACGGTAACAGGGGCTTACCGCAGACAACAGGATACAGGTCCCAAGTGTAGCCACAAAAACGGCATCGAAAGCGCTGAGGAGATATCTAGGAAGCCTCAATGTGTGGGCACGCTGAGCGATGAAATGTCGCAGAACGTAGCTGACAGGCAACATGAAGCACCTCTAATACTTAACTTACACCCTCGGATACCGCTTTCATCCAGAGCGATCGCTTGTTCACCCTGATAACTCAGCATTCGCGCCTCGTTTTCGTCGCGACCACATGTGCCGGCATCATCCATCATGCCTGGCAGTCCATTCAATCGAGCTGGCGGAGAAGGCCACGAGACGACTGAAAAGGAGCAGATGAGTAAAGAATGTGGGAGATGCACTGAGCAAGAGCAAGAATCGATCCATGCGCATATATATATATATATATATATATATATATATACGGATATACATATAATGCGTACAGATATACATATACATACATACAAACATGTAAATGCAGATGTAAACATGAATATATGTATATCCATACATATTCACACCAGCGTGCCTTCAGCACGAAGCGGGGTGCCCAACGTCAACGCAGGTATCAGAGTGTGGCGGATTGGAACATGACTGAAAACCTGCCCCCCAGGTGTTCCCCTGAATTTCTGGGAGTTGTTGGGTGCTCCTGGGTGCTCCTGGGTGCTCTTGGGCGCTCTCGAGGTGTGTGTCGCCTCGGCCTCGGGGACGGCGAGCCCTCCCGGGTCGACCCGACGAACCTGCAAGAGAGCCCCCAAAGAGAGCCAAAAGGACTGCCCAACAGGCCGTGATGCGCCTCGTTATCGCTGTTGTCGTTGAGCTCTCATCCCAAAAGAATAGTTATTGTCCATCCCCACCTTGCGCTTTTCAATGTAAGTGTTCCTCCAGGACTCGCACCCTGTGTTTTTTACAAAGGAAGGTCTTGGTCCGCAAGAGAGGGGCCCATGACGGGCCAAAACGCCCAAAACAGGCCCCAAGGGGGAACACGATCTGACATGTCGAGCCCTCCCGTCCCAAGATGACCCCCGAGACAACCAGGAGGCCCCCAAGAGGCCCCCAAAAGGCCTCCAGAATGACCCCTCGGAGGCACCGGAGACGCCCCCAGTATGCCCCCCGGAAACTCCCAAAAGGCCCACAAGAGCTCTCTGAAATGCATCCACAACCTAGCCACGGTGGCGGGATGGACAGACGGAATGTATGTATGTATGGATGTATACGTTTAGTCTAAGTGCCTGTAGAATTATACTTACATACATACATGCATACATACACACGTACATGCATACATACATGCATGCATGCATGCATGCATGCATGCATACATACATACGTGCGTACGTACATGCATACATACATACATACGTACATGCATACATACACATGTGCATATAAACATACATACGTACGTACGTACGTACGTACATACATATTTTCATAAATACATACATACATACGTACATACATACAGATATACATACATACATACCTGTACATGCTTACATACATATACATACATAGACATGCATGCGTAGACATACATACATAGGCATACAGTTGTATACAGACATGTATACATATCTATATATATATGCATACATAGATATACATACATACATAGATACATACATACATACATACATACATACATGCATGCATACATACATACATACATACATATCTGAATGTATACATACATACATACATACATACATCCATACATCCATACATACATGCATACATACGTACATACATACATACATACATACATACATATACATGCATGCATACATGCATGCATGCATACATACATACATACACGTATACATACACGCATGCATTCATGCATGCATGCATGCATGCAAGCATGCAGACAGACAGACAGACAGACAGACAGACAGACATGCGTGCATACATACATGCATGCACGCATGCAAACATACATAACTACTTGCTTACATAAAAGAATACATACATACATGCATGAATGCATACATGCATACATATACACTTGCACACATACGTACATGCATAATTGCATGCATGCATACCTGCATGCAAACATACTTACATATATACAAATGTACATGCATACGTATATGCATCCCCGCAGGCTGCGCAAGTGAGCAGTCGCGTAAGTGCGAAGGCGCGGCGCGCGCCATCGGCGGTCCGTAAAGCGAGACAGGCCTACGCGGGCGGGCAGTGCGACGGCCCCAGGCGGCCTCGTGCAACGAGGGCGCCCGGGCGGCCAAGGGAGGCCGCAGCAGCGCCGCAGGTCAGATTTCGGAGAAGGAGGGAGGAGAGGGAGGGGGCCGAGAAGCTGCAGACGACTGCACGTGCGTGCGCTGCGGGGATAAGAGCGCGCATCCCCGCACGCTGAGCAAGTGAGCAGTCGTCTCAGGGCGAACGCGCGGCGCGCGCCCGCGGCGGTCCGTAAATCAGGACTACGCGGGCGGGCCGCGCGAGGCTCTCAGGCGGCCTCGTCCAACGAGAGCGCCCGAGCGGCCAAGGGAGGCCGCAGCAACCGCACCCAGGCTCAGAGCTCTTGCGAAGTGATAAAGAATTGGCGGGCGCCCGCGAGTTGAATGGGCAGGTCAATGGGGCCAGCATCCAGGAAGGAAGCGACGGGGACGTCGCTAGCGTCAGCGAAATAGGTGACACGGGCCCTGGCGGAGTCAGTGGGAGCGGCAAGCACGAAGGAGGCGGTAGCACCTTGCAGGTAGCGCTCCGCACTGCAAGCTCGTCGCAAGCGACCGCGCCAGAAGACGCGCGGGACGTCGGTGGCGACGTAAAAGGTGGTCGCGCCTGAACTCCGCAGGCTGGCGGGGGCCATGGCAAGCCCCGCTGGCGCCCTGGCAAGCGACACGCCCAACGCCGAACGTGAATGGCGCCACCGAGTTCGGAAGCCGCTCGGACCGATAATCGATAGCGGATCGGTGGGACCCAAATGCTGAAGGACCGACACGAGTATCCGAACCACCGCTCTCTCCGAGCAAATAGCGCGCAGCGTCGGATACGACATGCGAGTCCCAGGAGCGGGGATGGAAAGAATCGCGTCGCCCATCGGGTCAAGGCGGTCGCTCGGTAGTGAGAGGTCACAGCGGCGAGCGCTCAGCAGATCGCCTGACTTCAGGCACATGGTGAACCCGGCTTGAAGGAGGGCGGCCATGGCGAGCCAGCCCCATAGGAGACACAACGACACCATAGTGCGCAGCAGCGCTCGAGGCAGCGGAGGCGCAAGGCTGGGCAGCGGGAACAACTTCCGACGCCTCGCCACATTCCACGCCCTGGTGAGCGAAGCCCTCCGGTGAGGGTGGCGCGCTTGGACGCCCAGGATCGCATGCACCAAGTTGTAATGCGGACGACCGGCGTCATGCAGCCACTCTCCGAAGGTCGCGAGCACCCTCGCGAGCAGGATGCCGCTGTGATACAGCAGGGTGGCCGATGTCAAAGCCGAATGCTCAGCGCACCACGCTTCGAGCACATCGAGCGCACGAGCGCGCCTGTCGTCGCTGGCGCGCCCCGGGGGGGCAAAGGCCCTCCGCTCTCCCACCGAAGGCCTCGCAGGCTACCTCGGGGAGCGCAGGCTCCGGGCCGGCGGGCCGCTCCCGGGCGACGCGCTGCGGGGGCCGCCACGAGACGTGCGAGGGGTGTGCCGAAACGGGTGCGGGGGACGCGCGTGGGCGGTGGCACTGGGGCCTTCGGCGGAGCTCCCTGTGGGGCCACGAGACGTGTGAGGGGTGTGCCGAAACGGGTGCGTGGGCGGTGGCACTGGGGCCTTCAGTGGAGCTCCCTATGGGGCCACGAGACGTGTGAGGGGTGTGCCGAAACGGGTGCGGGGGACGCGCGTGGGCGGTGACACTGGGGCCTTCGGAGGAACTCCCTATGGAGCCACGAGACGTGCGAGGGGTGTGACGAAGACGATGACGATGATGATGACAATGGAGGAGGAGGAGGAGGGAGGAGGGCAGCGGGTAGAGGAGTCAGGACGCGGGGCGCTGTCTCTTCAAAACGTGGACCCAACACCACAGGATGGTTGGGAACAAAACAAGAACCACATAAGGGCCTCATAAGGGTCGGCTAGTGTTCCTGAGGGCCGGCCCCCCAGAAACAACGATTTGTTTTTGTAAACAACACCCGCATGAAGGCCACATACACGCAACATCGCATGAGAATTGGCAGTAGTAACAAGAACGAGCATTGTGGAGTGAATGCTAAGGCACAGAACTTTGGCAGACAGTAAGTCACTGAGAGACAGATCAGCATCGCCAGATCATGACGAGGTATGTGGTATATGGAATGTGGGCATGCGTGCTTATATGTTGTACTTGAACACCCTCCTCCACTTGTCCTCATTTGTGTGTGAGGGTCATCAATTTCATCATCATGACTATCATCGTCTCAATTGTCGTCTTTCCTCCATCAGTGCCCCTCGTATTATTTCGTTCCTCTCCGTACAATACTAATCTGGATTATTCGATTCAAAACGCGAGCATGTCAGATGCCTCCTTGATTGAAAGAGCATGTGTCACGTGACGCCCGTGGATAGACATTACTCGCAATGACAGCGCAGTCCAAAAACAACGGGACATTACAAACGTGCTGGAGTCGGCGCAACCCCCCTAACCTATTAGACTCCAGACCAGGGCTGGGCTGGGGCTGGGCCGCCACGCAAACGACGAAAGAGGAATGCCGAGAGGCATCTGAATACAGGGAACGGTAAAGGGAGGCATGGTCCTGCCCAGAGACTGGGATGCCTATGCTATGACCGCGTCAAGCAACGCACCACACCACATGCCACTCACCCGCCAATAAAAACACTGAAAGAGACAACAACATTCATTGTAAAATGCACAACATAAACACAACAACAACTACGACTACTACAACATATACACAACAACAACAACAACAACAATAATAATAATAACGACAACAACCACAACCACAACCACAACAACAATATCGACGCGCACACACACACACACCACAGACCATAAGACAGCGACTTGACCACATGCGTCTTGTTGCTCTTACAATGTTAAATTAGACGAGTCAAATCACATGTCATCCTCAAGTCCACTGGAATTCATCATTGTGCCGACGTTTCTACTTTATGTGGTTGGCTTTCTCTAGTTTTTCATCGTTATGTTCGCCATTGTTTGTTCGCACTGGGTTTGAAGCTGTTCTACAGGTTTCAAAAAAGCGAGATGGCTTGAAAACAGGACGGGGGCTGATGAATAGATAATGGAACAGCAAAGACCAAAAAGATTAGTCAAAGACAAAGTGCTTCAGCGAGGCCAGGGCAAAACAGGACTGAACAGGACAGGACCATGCATAGGCTGTCAGGAACACAGCAGACCAACAGGCTGGCACAGAAGGTGCAGAGGGGCAAGAGCCGTGCAAAGGATGGTGCCTACTAATACGATTGCGCCGTTTCTCACCTTGCCTGCTACCCTGAGCCAGTGGCAGCAATGGCACGCAATACCACCTTGTTGTGCCACATAGCTTGCCGAGCTGTTGGCATCCAACGACAATATAGCAACACACGGTGCGAAAGCTGAGAACGCCAGCCTGCACAGGATCGCCCTTCACAGAATGGCTCATGCTGCGAGCTGGGCACGACTGCCTACGCAAAGGCACGTGAAAGTCAACGACCGAGTGCGGCAACGCCTGTCTGAGGCTCACCCTTTGAAAAATTACACGCCGATGCCCGTGCAATCGAATCCATTGTTCTTGCGTCGCCGACGTGACCCCCAGCGCAGGAACAAGGAATGGCGCCCCCCTCGCCACGAACGCAAGGCGCCAGAGAGTGCCCTGCTGGAGGTGTGGTCTCCCCCTCTCCGGCTCGACACAGCCCCTGTCCCCGCCTCGGGCGGGGCATCACAAGAGGTGGCCCCCCTGGTGGTGGTGGTGGTGGTGTCGCGTTGGAGGCGGCTGGGGAGGCTGGAAAGAATGGGCCCCCAGAGCAGATCAGCTCAAAACCAGTCCCTGGACACCTTCTGGGCTCCGTCTGCTGCAGCTTTTCAGCACGAATCCGCTCGCGACAGTCCTGGGGCCCGAAAAAACTGGAAAAAAAAATCCTCAGACCCAATACCTCGAACCTCGCCCCCCCCACTTCCTGCTCGCCGGACCCGCGGTGCCCGGACAAAAAGTGTCCACACCCATCGCGCCAAGATGATACGACATCGAATGCAGTCGAACAGATATCCGTAGCCCCCGTCCCCCCCCAACTCAAAGTTGGCGGGGTTAGCCGCGAGGCAACGCGCGAGGGACAAGATGTGGACACTTCAACTTTGAGCTTTGGGGGGGAGGGGGGCGAGTCAAATGTAGATTGCAATTGTTGTTGCCATCATGTCTGACTGCCTTCTCGCCGTCGGTGTGGACACTTTTTGTCCGGGCACCGCAGTGCTGGGCCACGTCAGACCCCAACCGGCTCCAACTCATGCGTTCCCACACCCGATGCACACCCCCGTGCTTGTCGGACGAATGGTCATCAGCCGTTCTGCGCCCGACGGCTCCACGAAGGTTTTGCCCACGCTTGAAAAACTTCTGAGGCGGGCGCGCTGTCTGACCTTCGCTAAGGTTGCTCGGTTCATGGCCTCTGGAGCCGCCGAGACCCATACCCCACCTCCCGCTTCCCCACCCCCTCCTCCACCTCCTCCTCATCAGAATCATCAGCAGCAGCAGCATCAGCATCAGCAGCAGCATCATCATCATCAGCAGCAGCAGCATCGTCAATCCATCTTCCACATTAAAAGCTCTTCCCTGCGGCACCTCCTGACGTGTCGGTAAGGCAAACTGGGCGTTTGGCCAGAGGTTGACTCACGATGAATGATCCTGAAGTTGAAAGTTTGCAACAGCATCAAGGATGGACGGGGACAGCGGGGCTCAAAATGGCTCGCGCCTGCGCACCGCGCACAGTCGTGTCAGAAGCCCCACCAGTCCTCTGGGCGTGAGTGGCTTCACGAGCTCGTCTTGCTAACCTCCTTTCTTCCCGTTCGGATGGAGGGGTACCCCTAGCCCCATGGGTCTGAGAGGGGCGTGTCACGGGTCACCGAAGCGCCCAAGGCGGCCCAAGATGGCTCCAGGAGGGCCGTGGACCAAGCTGGACTCCCAGAGCGCTCAAGATATGCCCACATGGCGCCACAGGACGGCTCCACGCGCCCTCCCAGCCTCCCACAGAGGCTCCCAGGAGGCCAAAATTCTCCGAATACCCAAATGGCATGACTAACTTGTGCTTGAATAACTTGTGCTTTCTCGCGGATTCGCTTCCGATGGGCTCCAAAAGCCTCAAGACGGCGCCAAGATGGCCCAAGAGGGCCCCGAGAGCCCCCAAGAGCGCCCGGAGGGGGCCCCAAGAGGCAGATTGAAGGGCCACGGCGGGAGGGGGGGCAATTGAGACCCCACCTTCTTTGATCGATGGCCACACGAGCACCCGCAAGGTCTCCAAGGGAGGCCCAAGAGAGCCCCCAGAGGGCCCCGGGAGAGCCCCGCAGGGGCCCAAGAGGCCCCCAAGATGGCCACAGCAGGGCCGCCAACAGAAAGCCCTGGAGGCCCCACGAGGCGCCAGGATGCACCGGGGCACCCCACAGAGCCACAGGAACGCCCCAGACGCCCCAAAGTTCCCAAGACAGCGCCAGAGAACCGAAGGTGGTTGCTAGCGAAACCCCAAAAATAACTAAAACCGCAGAAAATGAGCATGAAACAGATTTGCCCGGAAATGTGCTGATCCGTTCCCAAATTCACCAAGAATGTTGAAGCGCGCGAGATGGTCCGAGATTCCTTCGGGATGGCCCCTGCTACACATCGCCGATCATGACAAATCGACTGGCGCCTGCCTCTGCATGGTCTGGCTGGAAATCGTTTTCAGACTGTGGCTGTAGTCCGAGCCACGGCATATTCGATTTAAAGGATTGCAACAGCTTCTAAGACTGGGAGGGGGTACAAAATACGGTTTCGCCCTAGCGCCGCTGCGAAAAGCTTGAACACATTCAAAGATGGAAGGGATTCGCTTGCAAGGCGCAGCTCTCGCCATAGCGCCGAGCGCACGCGTCTGAAAAGTATGGGAGGGGGTCCTTTCAAATATTATATCGCTTCAGCGACACGCACATTCGCCTTACAACTCCGCAGCTGATTCAACGATCAGGGCGCGCTCTTTTCCAGAATCGCGAATTCGCCGTAAAACTCTGGAGCGTATACACTGACTGCGGGGAGAACACTTTCAAATTCAGGCGTCCGCTGGTGACGGCTTCGATTTTTTAGCTCGGTGGTTTAAGCAGATGCAACAGCTGCACGTGTAAAGGTCGTGTCGTTTTTTTAACTGTGTTATCGCTTGGGATTTCAAACGTCTTCACATCCAACGACACGGCAATCGAACAGATGGCACGCCTGCACGGCTGCAGGGCGGCACCGACTCCAAACGGGATTTTCGCGTGGGAATTCCTCGAGGCCCGGTGACCAGAAATGAAAGCTGCGGCACGAGTACAAGAGATGGGGGCGTGTTTTCCGAATATATTGCCATGCTCGACAGCTAATTAAACTACGCGGTCATGCCCTCGCGCGTTCTTTACTTCTCGCTGGGAACACACGCATTCATCGAGTGCCCTTTTCCCCACGAAGTTCTCGTCTTCATGGCAGCCAAAACGAGGCGCAGGCATTTCAAAGAGGTGGCCGGGAACCTCGTAGAGCTCCTTGAACGCATGAAAGTGCTAGAAAAACGTCAAGTTGACATTTTTCGGTGTCGACCTGATGTTGGTTGCTCCAAGTGCTTCGATAGTAAAACTCTCTGTAGAGAGCTGAGCTGCTCTGAGAACAAAGTTCAGATGCTAATGCTGGGAGTGAGGATCTGGTTTCTCAGAATGAATGGTCAAATATCTTTCAAATCTTCGGAAAAAGAGGGAAGCAAAAAAAAAAAAAAACACGCCGGAATTCCTCGAGCTAAACGATGCCGAAGAGCTCTACGAGGTACGAAAAGCTCTACGAGGTACTACAGGTTCTCTATAGCTCTAGCTCTCAAAGAGCTCTCCGGGAAAGGAGCTCTACGAGGCCCCCGGCGGTAACCTGGTTGACGGTTTACCGCCGGCTCCCAGTTCCTGGAGAGCTTTCTGAGACCTAAAGGGTTTTAGACTGGCGCCGGCGGTGAACCGCCAACCTGGTCACCGCCGGGAACCTCGTAGAGCTCATGGCACGCGTAAGAGTTCTCAGGATCAGAGCAGACAGCTTATGGGAACATTTCTAGAGAAACATCAAATTTGGATTTTTCGGTGTCACCATCATGCTGGTTCCTCTAAATGTTTTGATAGTAAAACTCTCGCTAGAGAGCTCAGCTGATCTCAGAAGGAAGTGTAGACACTAATGCTCGGAGTAAATATCTGGTTGTTCAAAATAAATTGTTACATATCTTTCAAATCTTAGCATAACCGACCCAAAGTCGTCACATCTTCTTTTCTGGTCGGATCGACAAACTGGGCGCCAGGGGTAAACCGTCAACCTTGGTTACCGCCGGGGGAATCGTACAGCTCCCTGGCCATATACCATCTCTAAAGAATAAGCAGAGTATGAATAGTTGTTCAGCCCGAGCGCTAATAGCATTGCAGCCGTCTAGATACATTCAACTAGCGCCTCTGATAATTTCCTTCCGATTGCTGTGCAGAACAGCCCTGCAGCTCATCTCCAGCGCGAGTTGACCAAGAAAACCAACACCGTCTCCAAGAAATTAACAGACTACGAATAGTTGTTCAGCCCGAGCGCTGATAGAAGACTGAATTCAGGGATCTAGATACTATCAAATAGCGCGCCTCATGATTGTCTTCCGATTCTTGAGCCTAAGAGCTTGGGAGCTCATCTGCAGCTCGAGTTTAGTCAGGAAACCCATTCCATCACCAGGAAAAAAAAGCCGAATATGAATAGTTGTTCGGCTTCTGTGCTGAGAGCAGACCGAATCCAAGCGTCTACGGAATTCCGACTAGCGCATCTGATAATTGCCTCCCGATTTATGTGTCAAAGAGCTCTGAAGCTTAGATGCAGCTTGCCTTCAGTCAAGGAACTCACCATCATCTCGGAAAAAATAGTAGAATACGAATAGTTTCGCGGACCTAGCTCGAGTAGCAGACCGAGTTCGGACCTCTAGATGCTTCAGACGAACGCGCCTGATGATTCTGAATCGATTACGTGTGCGCATCAGCTCTGTAGCTCTCCTACAGCTCGAGTTTAATACAGAAAACCGACAGCACCTGTCAACAAATTTCGTAGAATACGAATAGTTTCGCTGACCTAGCTCGAGGAGCCGACCGAAGTCAGACCTGTGGATGCTTAAGACGAGCGCGCATGATGATTCTGAATCGATTACATGGGCGCACCAGCTCTGTAGCTCTCCTGAAGCTCGAGTTAACTACCGAAAATCGACAGCATCTATCAAGAAAATCGGTAGAATAGGAATAGTTTCGCGGACCTCGCTCGAGTA